CTTAATTTGGCTTTTTCAGAAGAAAGGAAAGGACTCCAGGAGGCTTTATTCCTAGAAATCATGATGTAAACTTGATTGCAGCAACTTTCATTTACTCTTTTGAACTTTGATACCTCTAAAGAGTTGGATATCCTAAATCAGGCTCTATGTTGGTGTTGTTTTGTTGCAATGGGATCTCTCTAATTTTTTCATTTTTTTTATTATTTCAGATATCAAATGGAAACTTAAGTAGGGGTTACAAATGTGATGCTCAATCTGAAAAATCACAATAACCCCCAACAAAAGACCGTGCTGGAGCAACTAAATAGTTTAAGGGTGAGACTATTTTTTGTGCAAATGTGCCTATGCTTACAACTTAATATTGATCTAGAGTTATGTTTATACTTCGTATTTTAGGCTGCATTTTTAATAAAATATCTAATTTGTGATCTTATTTTTATAAATATATAATTCTGTAACTGTTTGCATTTAAGAATTTTTGTTTCATCAGATTACCAGAAGAGGTGAAGAAGCAAAATCAAATGGTATAATACAGAGTAGATACTGTAATAAATTGAGTTAACAAGTTGAATTGTATACTTATTGTGACACTTGAATGTTGTTTTTGTTTCTTATTGTTGTATCATGTGTATTACTTTTTGTTGCACCATGTTTCTTTTTGTTGTAACATGTTGCTTTTTGTTGCATAGTGTTGCTTATTGTTGTACTGTGTTATTGATCGTTGTTTTTAATGACTTAGTTTTTTTATTATTATTTAGATTTCTATTACCTTGGTGACTTTCTTAAAATCGAAATGTCTATGTAGATCTAAAAACAAAAACCTAAAGTGATAAATTTAGATCCATGAAAATAAACAACTTGAAACAGAAAGAAACAATAAAAAACAAAAATTTCATCGTTATAAACAAAAGAAAACACATAGAAACAATATGCAACAAAAACAAATAAAATAATAATAATAATAATAATAATTCAATAGTTTAATTGTTGTAAGAAATATTACATTATAAAATTCGTATTGTTTATTTTTTCAATTTTTCAATTTTTTCAAAGTTCATTATTTTTATTTTTCAAATTTTTATTCCTTGATTTTATTTTAATTTTAAAGTTTTTAAGGTCACATGATTTTCTAATTTTTTAAAATTTTATTTAATCTATTTTTATTTTTCCCACTGTAATATAAATTTTAATTTAACTTTTCGAATGATCTCAAAATTTATATTTATTTGAATTTTTATTTTCTTTAATATGTATATTTTCCTAATTTTTAAAATAATTACGTTTTCATACAAGATTCCAATTATTTTTCATATTATTTAATATTTTCAAAATATTTTTATCTTATATTACGTAATTTTAATAATTTTAAGGTTATCAATTTTTTTTTAACTATTTTACACTTTTTTTATAATTTTTTTTGATTTTTTATATTTCATAAAATAAATTATCTTAACTATTTAAATTTAATTTAACTACATTAAATATATTTCCCAAGTTTTTTTTAAAGTTTTTTACATGTTTTTTTATTTTTCTAACTTTTTTGTAAAATTTAAATTCATTTTCTTTAATTTTTTAATTTAATTTACAATTTTTCAATTTTGCATTTTTTTAGTTTTATTTTTTAATTTTAGTTTTTTTTATGTTTTTAAAATTCAATTTTCCCTTTCTAATTTTATTTTTTTCTAAACATTATCAACAATATGAGTTAATAAATTTTTATATTTTTAGTTTAAAAAAAGTTGAGTGCCTGCACGTTATATGTACTATTCGTATTAGTTTTGAGAAGAGGAGCATAATCAGCAGATTCGAATTTACATGCATGGGTGTACGTGTCAGGCGAAAGAAATTTTAGTCCGTGAGCTTGATACGGGTTAGTGGTCCATTTTTGAAAAGAAACTTTTGAGGTAATCTATATTTGAAATAAAGTTCTAAGGGGAGCAAAAGTGATATTACTTTCATTTTTTGTCTACTTGTGAAAATTTCCCAATGTATTATTCTTGATAGTCTAGATTGCTATAGTTTAATATCATTTAGAAAATATGCTAGACCCATTTGAGGTAAACCTTTACATTATGTCAATTTATATAAGAATGATGTTTGAATTGTAGGAAATCGTGTGATTCCAAGAGGATGATGTGAGATTTGCAATCAACTAATCAATTTATTACAAATCATATAAATATGGCTAGATGTATCTAAATATGGTTGGCAGCGCAATATGTTTTAATATTAGTATGTAAAAGAAATTGTTTGGACAAGGTTGATTATGTGCTTAACTCTTTAAAAATGATAAGAAAGTAATACACAATTAATAAGACGTGCATAAAATAAATGTTATAATTTAAATAGAAAGAATAACATCTAACTAAAATAAAGTAATTTGTACATTGTACGATACTAAGTTATTAATGGATTGGTGGATGCTCAGACTTGAAATTTTACAACATACTCCGTAATTTTTTGTTATAAAAAAATTAATGTTTACTCACTTTATAACTAAAGAGTGCGCAATTGGTCGTATTTATGATTTTTCGCTCATTTTTATTTTATACAATACTCATTTACATACAAAAGATATACTCCAGGCCGGGAATACAGAATTTATTAGAATAATATTGATTGCAATCATTTATACCATATAGATGATAAATCTATATGCTAATATGCATAATAAAATACAACTTTTAACACACTAAAATCTAGACCATTTTTCATATTAGTTGTGTAAAAAATTTACTACTTTACATTTTAAGTGCTTAATTTTCAGTTAGAAACATTTCTCTCTTCTTTAATTTACTAACTCGAATCACTAGTTATATCACAATTTTAGGGTCTGTTTGCAACTACTTTTAAAAACGCACTTCTCACCTTTTAGCTTTAAAAAAACACTTATTTTTCCAAACACTACAACTTTTATTTTTCTCGGCCTCCGCATCAAAAGTGTTTTTACTTTTTCTATTACACAAAAAACACTTATTTTACCAAACATTACCCACTTTTACTTTTCAAAATTATTTTTTCTCAAACACTATCAACTTTTATTTAATCACTTCTCTCCATTTCATTAAAAAAAGCACTTTTTTAAAAGCAGATACTGTTGCAAACAGACCCCTAGTACTTCCCACGTCCCAATTTATACTACGTATGTCTTATTTCCATTTTGAAAAGAAATACATGGTTCACAACATGTTACTTTATTATACTTATGATGTTTTCTTTTGTACTGTTTTCAATCCCAGACCAGACTACATCAAACCTGACCAGACTTAAACAGATCAGACCAAACCAGACCAGACTTGGATAATTATAAAATACATAGATACCAGACCAGACCAGACCAGACTTAAACAAACAAGACCAGACCAGCAAATTTCAGTCCAAAAGAAAACATCCTTAATATCTAATCATAACATTTACTTTTTCACTCACTCTATTTATAATATTCGTATTAAATCAAAATAAGACACATGAAATGAGACAAAAGTAATATTTATTACTCCCTCCATGTCGCAATGAATTTTCCGGTTTGACCTACACACATATTTATGTAGGATAGAGTTTTATTTTGACTTTCCATGTATATCCTCACTTTATGTCAAATCAATTCAAGCAAAAGGTAGATAAAAAGTAACGATAGTTGTGATTATTTTTTTAAAAGATTTCCTTTTAAAGAAATAAGAACTAATTTCGGGGACACCCATAAAGAGAAAGTGAGAACTTCCTTACGGGATGTAATATTAAATTATCAAAAATTTGGGACGGGCAGATGGACTCAACTCACTCAAGTCTAGGGGAGCTCACCCCTACATCCGCTCATGTCATCAAGTATTGCAAAATTTATGATAATATCATAAAGGGATAAGGCTCAAATTGGACACTATGGTTTCATCTGAATCTCATATTTGACACTAAGGTTTCAAATGGATCAAATTAGACACTATGGTTTCATATGTATCTCATATTGGACACTAAAGTTTCATAATTCATAGGTTTTGGACACTCACTTATATTGGATAAAGATCAAATTGTACACTCACTTATATTGCATTATGAAACTTTAGTGTCCAATATGAGATACATATGAAACCATAGTGTCTAATTTGGTCCATTTAAAACCTTAGTGTCAAATATGAGATTCTGATGAAACCATAGTGTCCAATTTGAGCCTTATCCCTATCATAAAAATATACCTTCACTAGTTCAGCTCAATAATCAAGTATACATACATCAAAGTCTCTTTGTACACGTCTCATGTACATGCCGGTTTTTGTCTGTACGCAGACAACTTTTTTAATTTTGTAAAAAATTAAAATTGTGTTTGACATACTAATAATTTGGGCTTAAATACTGTTTTAGTCCTCGAATATCACACACATTGTTTTAAGTATGTTTTCTTTTGGATTGAAATTTGTTGGTCTGGTCTGATTTGGTCTGGTCTAATCAGGTCTGGTCTGAACTGGTCTGGTCTGGTGTAATCACATCTTAAGTCCCTATAATTTTTTTTGTTTTTCATCCCTGTAATATGCACTATTTTGATTTTAGTCCATCTCTAATTTCGAAATCAATCTAATTAGAAAAAGGTTATTGTCAATTGCATAAATATACTAGAAGTATTTTAATTTGTCCTTTTATAATTTTTTGAGGCTAGAACTAGAATTAAAACAATGTAAAACTAAATATTCACATTTAAAAATATATTATGTATATTAAAAACCTTCTAAGCAATGAAATTAAATACTTTTTGAATAACATGAGAAAGATTAGAAAAAATCTATTAGTTTGTTATTTTGAATTGAAACAGAGGTTGTTATCATCAGATAGACTAAAATCGAAACCAACATAAATTGAAGGGATGAAATACAAAAAAAAGTAATTTTGTAGAAATGTAAAACAAAATGTAGTATATTTAGAAGGACTAAAAATATATTTAAACCAATAATTTATTATTCATGACACCCTTTAAAAAAGGAAAAAAAAAATGTTTGTACAGACAGAAAAATGGACATCATATACTGATATGCATCATAATAAACTTGGCGTCTACATGAAGCATTTTTGTACATATACATGGATTGGAAACTTACTTCATCGTTGGAACTTGGAGTAGCGTCATCCAAAACAGAAACTTCAATTTCAATCAAGCAAATGTCATCAACAAGATAACCTTCACTTTTATTGTGAAGCTTACTAAGCGAGATAAATGAAGGGTAGCCGTTAGTAGTCCATCGAGCGTCATATTTGCCTTCCATATCTGTATCATATAATGCCAAAAAAGTAAAACGAACTCAGGTTTTACATGAATATTATTAAATTAAAGCCAATTTCAAAAAGTGATCACATTTAAATAAGAACAAAAACGTGAGTAATTGATGTCACTTTCATATTTTCATGTCACTATCAGATTTATTGTCACTTAGATATTGAGTAAATTGAGAAAACATTTTCTTTAAACCTTTCTTCCTATTTCCTCCAATCAAACACAATTTTTTATTATCAAAATCCTTCCTTCTCCTTCCCTTTCCTTCTCTCCTTTACTCTCCCCTTTCTGTCCCCTCCTTTGAACCAAAGAAGGCCTAAAAGTAACATAAGAGATGCTCTTATACCTCACCACTCCAACTAGTCTTAGAGATTACTAATTTACCGTAAAGAAAATTTACGATAATACGGAATAGAATTCAGACCTCACATTCATAACAATTATCAATCAAGATATAGGTAGGCTCTTAGGCTAACCGCAACCCAGCCCGTCAATAAATCTAATTCCCCTCCAGTTAATACGTATTCATCCAATCAATCAAGTTTTTCTCTGCAACCCAACACCGTCAATATATTCACTCAGCATATTATTTTTCTATTTAAATTCTTTTTCTATTATTATAAAAAAAAATTATCTATTTTCTTTTTTGCGAATAATTATAATTTAAAAAATCAAACATTCTGATGTAAAAATATATAAATTTGGAGGTTAATTCTTTTTGTAGTTTCACACCTACTTTGTAAAAAATAACCAAAAGATGTAAAAAAATATTATTCGTGAGATCTTAATTTTAACATTTGGATCTACTTAAGTAAAAAATTTAGCCTATAGATTACAATCAGATGAAACTTCATATTTTTTTTAACTTTATATATATATGTGATATTGGTGTCATATGAAAGATCATAAAAAGTTATGAATTTTGATATATTTTTTAAAAACATTGGATCAAAACTAAAAAAGTTATGCTATTTTTTTTTTAAAAGTGGGATTTTTAATTTGTATGGAAGCCTTTTTTTCCCTGCGCACATCATTGGCTCATCCTAATCTCCAGGTGAATGGAGCACGTAAATTGCACGCACCAACGTGGACCATTCCTTTTTTCATGAGGACGTCAGCCCAGATGGCCCACCCGCCGTAGTGGAGAGTCAATGCTCCGCTCAAAAATCCCTCCCCTCTATTCTCCCTATTAGCACTGAGACCCTGCTATACTAAAAAACCTCCGGGTTGTAGCTACTTTGGGGTGAATACCTCACATTTGGGGTTTTCACCCCCTCCATTGCAATCAGTCTTAGGACATGCAACCGAGAGCGATCGCCGTCCTCCTATTTCATACCCGGAGGAAATTAGAAAATCTAAATTCAATACCGCGATCTGCCACAAAGCAAATTTCGTAACCGTTGAAAATTGTCTGTCAACTGACAATCTGAACACCCAGCTAAAAATGTAAAGGAAATCTCAAAAGAATAAACGGCGGCACAGCATGTGAACGAGATCCCAATCCAGAGATTTCCCATGGGATTAGCTATTTGATCTTTTTTTTACTACTCTTTCTTTAATTTAGCACTTTTCTTTTTCCTTTCATGTACTTTTTCTTTACCCTTTCTCGCATTGTACTCCTTTTACATATGAATAAAATCTCCTTTCCACAAAAAAAGGTAGGCTCTTTGGTGGGGCTGAAAGGCTAAGACCCTGTTTGGTTGGAGGGTTTTGGAGGCGAGTCGAGGGAAGTGAAGGATTTGTGTGTGTTTGATTGAAGGATATATGGGGGAAGAGGAGGAAAGTGAAAGACTTCCAAAATCCTCCACTTTCTCTGATTCTAAATCCCTCAAATCGGGGTATTTCGGAGGAAACGTGTTGATAATAAAAAACTATTCATCTCCTACATAAATGTACAAAACGTTATAATATAAAAAGGTAAAAAATGCAAAATTTTGAATGATTAAAAAAATTAAAAATTAAAAAATAAATAAATCAAAAAATAAAAAAAATTAAAAATTAAAAATTAAAATAATAAAAGAAATTAAAAAATACTCCCTCCGTTCTTTAATAAAAGTCCTTCTTTCCTTTTTGGGACGTTTTTTTTTATTTGTCCTCCTTTCCATTTAAGGAAAGTTTTTACTTTAAATATACCTTTATACCCCCACTTTTATTACCATTACCCCTTTCTCTTTCCTACTTTTTCATTTACCCACTACTCATTACACCTTTTACACTACTCCTACTATTTTCCTCTTAAAACCCGTGCCAAAGCCTAAGAGGACAGATAATAAAGAACGGAGGGAGTAAAAATTAAAAATTAAAAAACGAAAAAACTAAAAAATAAAAAAAATAAAAAATTATAAAATTTAAAAAGTAAAATATCAAAAAATAAAAAAAATATTATGACTCATGATCATAGGAGTAATATTCACAATAGTTAGAGATGTATCTATTTTTTTAAGTAAGTTATCAAATAAAGGTAAATGGAATAAATATTTTCATTAAATCTTTCCTCCTATTTCCTCCAACCAAACACAATCAGGGGCGGATGCACAGCTACACTATGGGGGGCAGCTGCCCCCATTAAACTCCTAATAATTCCCAATATTATACTAGGAAAATGTTTACTACATAGAATTGCCCCCAATAAAAAAAATGCAAATGCCCCCACCCAACTCCAAAGCAAAATGATATGCTCCGTATGGCCAATGCCCCCCACCATAATGCTCTGTACTCCTTATGCTTCAAATTTTGGTTATTGTATAATTAATATGTGTTAAAGTGTTATGGTGTATTTGTGTTAAATTGTTAACATTTAAATTTTGGTTGGTTTGATTTCCACGTTAATTTTTTGTTTTCATTAACGGTTTCTTTCAATAACTACAAGTTTTTTAATAAAAAATTCACTTATAAAAAAGGTTAACATTTAAATTTTAAGAATTACGATTTAAGGATTACCAAAGTCATATAAAATAATACATACATAGTATAATTTTTACATAGCAATCACTCTTGGAGAAGGTTTTAAGATATATAAAGAGACATTAAGAAAGCCATATAAAATATAGAGCCCGTTTGGTGAACCTATTTTCGTCTTATCAGTCAACTTTTTTATCAACACATAAGTTATTTTTCGTGTGCTAGATTGACTTCGTGTGCTAAATGATATAATAATCAAAATAAAGTAAGGTTGAATTACTTTTCTGGCTAGATTGACTGAAGTTATTGTAGTCGGTCATTTTAGTTATTATTTATATAAATTTTTTGTCATTATATTAATAAAATACTCGTATGTTTTTATTTTTTCATAAATTTGCAGAATCGGCTAATCCCGCCACTTCAGCCAGAACTTCATAAATTTCAGCAGAATCAGCTGATTCAGTGTTACCAAACGGGCTCATAATTTTTACATAGCTACCACTCTAGGAGAAGGTTTAAGATATATAAAGACAAAAAAGTACATTAGTTATCAAAAAATTAATTACACTTTTTAAGGTTTTTATATATTATAATACTAGTATACTTTATTTACTTATGAAATTTGGGTGTATTTTATTACAAATTTTTACTCTTCGGGTATATTTGGTTGTGTTTTTCATGGACACCATTTTTGTTCTGCCCCCAATAGCTCCGTTTCCTGGATCCGCCACTGAACACAATGTTTTATCAAATCCTTCCTTTCCCTTCCCTCCTTAACTCTCCCATCCCTTCCTTTCGACCAAACAAGGTCTAAGAGTGCGATCCTCTTATCTTTTGTGAGAGAAAGGGGAACGAATAATGCCCCATGATAAATACGGGTGGAGAACTTCATTGGGGAAGGGTATGCATTCCAAGAACGTTTGTAGTAAAGAATATGGGGAAATACCTTTCTTGATGGTTTTATTGGTGTCTATCTGATTAATAAGAGCCAGACTGAATTTAGCTGTTATACTCCGCCCATTGGGTAAGCTTGATGTGTCAGCCACATGGAGGTACAGCGACAAATGATCTCTTAGGCTTCCTCTTGGATAAAGGCACAACCTCCTGCACATACACATAAAAACAAAACTAATCTATGCACATAATTTGACAAATGGAATTATAAAGAGAATTTACCCTAAATAGGACTAAAAAAGTTTGTAAATTCCAAAATGAGACTGCCATGATTTTAATTCTCAAAATGGGACTAATTACTGTCATGTTTTGGCAATAACATATGACAGTATTTTCCAAACTTGACAGTAATTACTCCTATTTTGGGAATTAAAACATGACAATCCTATTTTGGAATTTTCAAATGTTTTTGGTGCCATTTCATGAACTTTCCCAATTATAAAGTGAGAAATTGTGTGGTTTTTAAAATAAATAAATTATGTAGTTGAAAATGAGTTGATAAAATGCGAATAAAGTAAAATTGTATTAGAGCCACAACGGACCGAGTACATGTTATCCGTTAATTTACAACTTCATGGCATTCGTACCATTTGTACTCGTTCACGACAAAAGTCACCGAGTGAATCCTATCATCAATTTTCGAGAAATCTTCGATCCTCCATGTAAGTTTTGGCATCATATATTGCTTCAATAATTAGTCTTTTAAGCTTTTCTGCGTTCCTTCTGTCAGCATAACCCACCATTAAATTGATGGCATAAAGGAAACTAAGAAACAAAGCTAAACTTCCTACAATACTTATAATCAAATAGCAAAAATTACACATTTCACAGTAAAAATTAAAACTTACTGAAAAGAGACGAGTTTAATTCGAGGCACACCGTCCTCACTCTTTTGCTACTTTTGAAATTAAAAAAAAATGTACCTTTACGGACTTCACTTAACTTACACCCCCTACACTCTTTCTATGTTTGCTGTATAAAAGCAACTACTTGGTATTATTCATCTTGGTTCATAATGGTTTAATAAACCGTACCGGGGCTTAGTTAAATTTATGAACAGATTTACTTATATGCTAACGCTAACCAGAGGTCATTGGTGGATATGGTGATATACTGATATATTACTTCCTCTGTTCTTAAATAAGTGTTACAGTCAACATTTCACACTTGCCGAAACACAATTTTGATCATTAATATATATAATTCTCTATTAGTAAAAATTTTTAAAAAATCAGTTTTTGAAAATTTAAAATGAGACAAATTTAATAATATATTTAAAAATATATACTTCGTATTAATACATCAATAAATAAAATGTAACCAAAGTAGAATATGTGAATAGTGTAAAATTTTATAGAGGTAGTATATATATTATTAAATACGACGAGAAGAGAATTAAGAAAGGATTTACTCATTTACTATTGCAAATCCGGAATTGATAATGATTAGCAGTGGTTGATGTTGCAAAAGTTATGCTGTGGACGAGAAGAAGCCTGGGACAAGGAGCGTGAGCTACTAAAGGTCTCTACTTATTGCAGAAGCTAATTAAGAGCTATGCTGGCTCGTTCGCTTCGTATCCTGCGCCCTCTCCTGATCACTCCCAAGGTTGTTCAGTCGTTGCCTCCTGCGTTCTTCAAAGCGCAAATGCTCACGTAATAATTAATAATGCTGTCAGGATTTATGGGAAAAATAACCCATTTATTGGGTATACTCGTAGGGGTGCACATAGTCCGCTAATTTTACTGTCCAGATCTTGAACTCTGTTTAGAATGACGGTATGGAACTACTAAATTATACTACTCCGTTCTTAAATAAGTGCAACATGTTAAATTTTACACTATTCACATGTTATATTTTGGCTACATTTTATTTATTAATGTATTAATATATATTTTTGAAAAATATATTGTTAAATTTGTCTCATTGTAAATTTTCAAAAACTGATTTTTTTAAATTTTTTACTAATAGAGAATTATACTCCGTATATATTAATGGTCAAAGTTGTCTCGGCAAGTGTGAAATGTTGACTGTTGCACTTATTTAAGAACGGAGGAAGTACTCCGTATGAGAGTACTTATTTTAATTTTAGAATTTTCAAAACGTTTTTACTTCTTGGGCGGGGGACATTCATGGTAAGGGGTCATGCCCCACCTAGATTTAATTGTTTTAGTAGTAATAGTGCTTTCTTACTTTATTTGTCCCCTTCTCACAATTGATTCTTTAGCAAATGTCATGTACTTCAACTATAACATTTAGTAAGGGTACATTTGGTTGGACGGAATTTCTTATACAGGTCGGAATGTGATGCCCAGTATGTGAGATATCTGCGTTTGGTTTGTGTGTTTGAATTTTTTTTTTGGAATGTTACATTCCCAAAAAGTGAAAAAGAAATCACATGCCCCTTCATGTGAAACCCACTTAGGCCTTAGGTTTTGTGACATTCCTGGTTGCTTTTCAATTTTATTCCACAAATACCCACTAATCTTTGTCATTTGTGTAATTAAACATATTTTGCTTAGAATTATTTACTAATTTTCATTAATCTTAGTCATTTGTGCAATTAAACATGCTTTTCTTAAAATTAATTCAATTAGTTTTCATTTTAATTATTATTAAGATGTTTTATTTTTCTTTAAATTTAATTACTTTGTAATAAGTTTAATATGTTAAAAGACAAATATTTAAAGGACATTTAAGTAATTCATAAAATATGTAATATATGATATCATTCAACCAAACAACTTGATGGTCCCGGATAGAGGTAAAAGTCTAGAGGGGGGGGGTGAATAGACTTTTAAAGCCTTTTCAATTTTGAAACACTTTTCCCTCTAGATGAGTTGATCTATAATCTTTTGATAGATTAATAGATGCACAGCGGAAGTCTTTAGCCTCTTTATTATCAATATGAAACAGCTTTCAAGTTCTGGTGATGTTTGGACTTTAAACGTGAGCAGTTGGCTTGACAGTTGGTTGATGGGCAGATCACTGCTGAGGCAACTGCTGGGTTGGCAGTTGGCTGAGGGGCAGGGGACTGCTGAGGTAACTGCTGAGAAACAAGATGACTCTTTGATAGTTTCTGTTCTGGCTTGAGTTTGGAAAGATACGTATGGGTGGGCAGTGGACTCAGCAGGTGGGTGAAGACCAGGGTACTGCTGAGACACCTTCTGAGTTTTTGAAATCTTCTTTGTGGAAAGCAGTCTCAAGGAGAGTGAGTTATTAAGCAGTAGGATAAGCAGTAGGGTCAGTTAAGACTACTGATTAGGATGCTGCTGACAAACTACAATCCTTCTGTGAGACGTGTTTGGTGTGTGTTTTGTATATGTGAATGTAAATCAACACACGATGTATCCTGGTTCAGAGGTGGTGTAATCCTCCTACATCCAGTCCCATTCTCTTTCAAATGGATTTCCACTAAAGTATTCAGCCCAATACAATTAGTGCCAATCTAGCCTTTACAACACTCAGGCCTAGATTGAAGGTTTTTCACAATGAGTATAACACCACTCAAAGTTACTCACTCCTTAGACTTTTCTCAAATGATCCAGTGGGGATCAAAAGGTACTCTATCTATCTAACCACACTTTAGGATCCGAACAACTGTTCTCCTAAGTGTTTACAACAATTTGTTTTCAAGAAAATTTCTAACCTCCAACTAGAAACTAAGCTCTAAAGGTATAATCGTGTATGATCTAGTCTAAGAACTTAGTGAAGCATGAGTCTAAGCAGAAAGCAAAGTTTAACGTGCACTTTCTCTTTTGCTAGATATCTCTTGAATGTTTGAAGTGTACACTCTACTTAGATAACTCAAAAACTTAATTTTAGCACTCATGCTTCTGCCTACTTTTATAGGCCTTTTGAGCAGATCAATCTCCTCCGTTGGTTGAGAGGAGTTGATCGTAGTCGCTGAAAGAGTTGTACTCTTTGTCTTCATGTGTTGGAGCAAGATAAAGAGATAATCTTTGCCGATCAGTTCTTCTCCGAGAGATCACTTCTTGTGTAGCATCATCTTCTGGGACCCATGTACAATTCTTGCATTAAATGCATTTTAGCCTTACGCCTTTGTTATACGACTTATCCCTGCATGTCACTGTGCACCAAGTAAATTATGTACTGGAAGGATCTTTTGTATATTCTTAGGGTAAAAACAATTACCCTAGTGAATTTCTTATTCTCCAGCAAAAATTTATTTGGAGCATTTGTTCAACACTTCCCACTTCTTAGTTTTATTTGTGTATTAAATAAAGTTATACTGGTAGGATTTGATACATTTTAAGGTAACAAATATTACCTTATTGTATTTTAAGTTTCCAGTAAACTTTATTTGATACATTTTATTAGTCATGACTTATTAGGTGGTGGAGATGTTCATTTATTGGTATAGTGCATCATCAAAATCTATCAACGTTGGGTACTAACAATTTCCCCCTTTTTGATGATGCCAAAACTATACCAAGCAGGACAGATTTTCTTTAGTTCAAAAGGAGAATACTGCAATGTTTTACAGTAGTTTATAGTCACTTTCGGACTATTTGTAGTTGCCTTCTTTGCTGCTATCTGTCTCAAAGAGGAGGGTCCTGCTGGGAGGTGTCTTCCCCCTTTTTGGCAACATCTTCCTTTTGGGTTTCTTTGAAGAACTCTTCAACCTCTTCTTCTGAGCAAACTTTTCTCTCCTTGAGACCATAGACTCTTCTGGTACTTTTCTCAAAGTAGCTTGGATTGTGCCGACCCGCGAGCCAGCCTTTGGAAATCACTGCCCTGCTTCCAGAAGGTTTCTTGAGTATTCTTCTGAAGTGTGATGAAGGTCTTAGCGATGTCCTGAGTAAGTGACTCAAAGGACTGAGTATGTGAAGTCCAGCACGGCAGGGAACTCTTTCTTTTGTAGTTTCCCAGTCTCCTGCTTCCAGAAGTGTCTTATGGCAGGGACCTCTGCTTAGACCTCTGCTGAGCCTTCTTCTTTTTCTTTTGTTCGGACCTTGTTGCTTCATTCCCTTGTTTCTGAGGATCATTCCCCCTTAGATGATACTCCTTATAAAAAATTTGGTTCCCCCTGAGTTGATGCCACATTAATCTTTAAGTTGATCAAGATCATCAAGCATTCCAAGCTCCTGCCTTAGGGAATTGAACCGCGCTTCACTGAGAGGTTTGGTGAAGATATCAGCCAGTTGCTTTTCTGTGGGGATGTACTCTAGTTTGACGGTTTTCTTCTCAACATGCTCTCTGATGAAGTGGTGCCTTATTTCAATATGTTTGGTTCTTGAGTGAAATACAGGATTATGAGTGATCGCAATAGCACTTGTGTTATCACACAGAATGCTAATTTCTTTAGTCTCTTCTCCATAATCCTTCAATTGTTGCTTCATCCATAGTATTTGTGCACAACAGCTGCCGGCTGCTATGTATTCTGCTTCAGCTGTGCTAGTAGCAATTGAGTTTTGCTTTTTACTGAACCATGATACAAGCCTTCCTCCAATCAATTGACAGGTTCCAGAGGTGCTTTTTCTATGAATTTTGCACCCAGCAAAGTCTGAGTCCGAGTATCCATATAGATCAAAGCCTCCATTTGTTGGATACCATAATCCAGAGTTAGGATTTCCCTTGAGATATCTCAATATTTTCTTTGCTGCTAGAAGATGGCTTTCTTTTGGTTTTGACTGATACCTTGCACATACCCCAACAGAGTAGGATATGTCTGGTCTACTCGTGGTAAGGTATAACAAGGACCCAATCAATCCTCTGTATAGTGTAGGATCAATATCTTTACCTTCTTCATCCGGAGTTAGGCCTTGCGAGGTGTTCATAGGAATCTTTACTGTGGACTTGTTCTCAACTTTGAATTTCTTCATAAGATCTCTTGTGTATTTGGCTTGGTTGATGAAGATACCTTGAGGGGTCTGCTTTACTTGTAGTCCCAAGAAGTAGTTCAACTCTCCCATCATGCTCATCTCAAACTTGCTTTGCATGAGAGTTGAAAATTTCTTGCATAGTGCTTGGTTTGAGCTTCCAAAGATTATGTCATCAACATAAATTTGGACAAGCAGCAAGTATGGACCTTCCTCAATTTTGAATAGTGTCTTGTCTACTTTTCCTTTAGTGAACCCGTTACTCACTAAATATTCAGAGAGAGTGTCATACCATGCTCTTGGGGCTTGTTTGAGTCCATAAAGAGCTTTATGCAGTTTGTAGATGTGACACCGCACCCGAACGTCCTTGAAAATTCGATTTAAAAATTCAAAAGTGATGTATTGAATTTCCGATTTCAAAGCAATGGAAGAAACGATTAATATTTTACGAAGTACATGATTGAATATTGTATTGTTCAAACCCGCATTCTTTTGTAATTTTCATCGTGTAAATTATTGGGATGAGCCTACACATATTGGAGATCAATAATGTGATTTAGGAAGTTGACTTGCTCTAAATAAGTTAGAATAAGTACAAAAAAAGACATCTTTTGACAAAGATAAAACAATAGGACCCATCTTCCCATTTTTGGAGGTATTGGTAGATATTTTGGACCCCAAATTAAATGGGATCATTTGGGAACCATCCCACATGACCTTGGTACCTGCAAAGACAAAGAAAAATGGATGAGACAACTATGTGGGGCGGACTTTTGACTCATGAGCTACAACATTACAAAAAGGAAATAAAAGAGGAGGTCCATACCATGTTTGATTGCAATCAAATACCCCACCCTTCTTTTTTGTGAACCACATGCTCTCTTAGCATGATTGAGGCCTTCCTAATACATTTTCCCTACACCCCATTCGAACTCCCAAGATAAGAGAGAAAGAGGGAGCCACATATTCCAAGAGAGAAGAGAAGAGAGAAGCTGGCCGCAGGATTCGTTTTCCAGCAGATAGGGTCTCTTGTTTAATCCATAACTTGAGCTTCACTCGTCCAAATAAGGCGTATGATATACCAAAAGAAAGCTCTCAAGACGAGGAATCTGTGAAGGCCTGGTTTGCAGGAATCGGAGTTGTGGAAGGCTTCCAAATCGTCCGAGAAAAACGCAACCTCGCAGGAGAGGATTTAATCTTCTAAAGTGAGTTTTAACCCCAAAGCTTTACTTTTCATTCTCCAAATGATATGAACGATTGGTGAGACTATTATACACTAATCCAAGTGTTTAATATGTCCTTATAAAGTTATTTTATTGATGTAAAGGTTAGATACTAACCTAGATGCAAATATTGGAAAACTAGGAATCGAGTTAGCCGGAAAACACCCGTTCTAGGGGCTGTTTTCGTATCAACGATTAAGGGTTGAACTAGCACTTTGAGGAGGCTGTTTAACACTCATATTTGAGCAAGGAATCAGTCCCAAATCCACCTTGACCAAAGATTTGACCGTTGGACCAAGAAGGGAAAGTTTAAAGCTCAATTGAGGTGAGGATTGACATCTAATTGCTTACAACTTGTAGGTTAAGCATGAGATTACCTAAATGTTTAAATCATGATTTTTCATGGATTATGATGACTATATATTGATGAAATATTGATATAGTTGCCAAAGAATGAATTTGGAATGATTTGAGAAAGTATGAACGATATGAGATTAAATGAGTATAAATGAACTATTTTGTGAAAATGGGCATTTTGCTCATGTATGAATTATGTGGATACATAAATGAATATTTGTGTATCGAGATTGAATACTTAAGTTGCTGCTACATAATTATAAATATGTAGAGAATTACAAACAATGAGGAAAATGGTACGATAACAATAATCTTAATAGTATTGGAATACTAGTTAGTGATTATTGGAACTTGTTGATTAAATTGATCCCAGGGATTGGATTGTATGAAAGGTACTTGAATGTAGTTCAAGTGTATATGATAACTTAGTATGGAACTAAGGTTAAGTTATGGGGAGTCTTTAAGGATGACCCATAGTAGTTTAATGATATGTCAATTCTAGGCATAGGGTTGCTTGAGAATTGGACCTTAATGCATGGTGATGTGATAGAGCCGAGCTCTAGAATGCATGTAAGGTGTAGACTTGGAGTCTATGTATTGTATAGCTAGAGCCGAGCTCTAGGACTTGCGTGGTGATGTGATAGAGCCGAGCTCTAGAACGCAAGGTAGGGAGATTGACCCGAGGTATATGAATTGTATGGTGATGTGGTAGAGCCGAGCTCTAGAATACAATGTCATGTACTAGGGTTGGACTCTAGGAGTTGTCGTGGCTTATAGTCACGGGGTTGGGAATGGTGATTTCCAAATAAACATGGGCCCACGGGCCGACTACTTGACTTTTATATTAAGTAAGTATATTTTTAAACGGGGTAACTAGGGTTACAAATCATAATGTACTATCACCCTATTTGAGGGTCTTGTGTTTGAAATACTTGTTGTATATCTATTAGATGCCTGCCACACCAGTACTTTATAGCCGTATAGAGTACTGACCCCTTCGGGGGCGTCCCACCACCATTTTTCAGGTTGAGGCTAGAGCTTGCTTCCTGTGCTCGTTGCTCGAGAGATCATATAGGAGGGAAGACTTGGTTCGTGCTTCCTCCATTCTGTTTTTAAACCTTCCTAAACGTGCTCATGGATATTTTACTATGGAGCCTGCGTGCTCATGAAATGCCTTGTGTGGCCTTTTGTTTTAAACAATGTTTCCGCTGCGTTATGAATTACTTATTATGTTTGTTTATGGATGTGTATGTGTGAATGATACTCGAGACGCCTTGTATAATATGAATGTGTTGGACTGCGGTTGACTATTCGTATTGTACGGCGGGTTGTTGACGTGTCCGGATAGGTCCGGGGCGTGACAATTAAGTTGGTATCAGAGCCTTAGTCCATAAACTTCATAATGAAGTCTCAAAATTCTCTTTTTGAAAAGATTTTGAAAACCATGAGCATAGAAGTTTTGTACTTGGAGAGCTTTTGGTATTTGGGTTGCAAGGTCTCTAATTGTTAAGATGGTACCCTTAGCAATTGGTATGGCAGTGACTCGAGCCAAAATGTGTCTTAAGTACCTATCCGTCAATTGACATTTGATACGAGTCTAACGACTCTTTCCCAATTTCTTTCAGAAATGGACCGTGGTGGCAGGATTACTAGGAGAAACCCGACCGGCCGTGTACCAGAGGAGACTGGACAGGGCAGTCGAAGGACCTCTAGGGCATCTAGAGGAGCTGGCCGTGGAGGCCGATCACAGACCGTGAGTGACGGTCATGTCGACACAGAAAGTGAAACCTACTGGTCCTATGAGGACTCGACTTACCAACCGGGGACCGAGCCGGTTGAGACCCCTTACGAAGGGGATGACGATGATGTGAGCGATGAAGAGGGGGAGAATGACTCCCTAGCAAGAATAGAGGCGCTGCTCCAACAATATCACCGTGAGCGTGAAGAGAGGAGGGAACGCCGAAGGCGCCGGGCTGGGCAACCTTCGGGCATGGCTTCACGAGGAGGAAGTCATGGTGCATCTAGAGTCCATGTGGAACCACGTGGAGGCCAAAATGATGGAGGTCCAACCATAAGGATCTCCAAGTACATCAAAGAAGCAAGAGATTTGGGGTGCAAACCCTTTGATGGAGCAGGGGACATTTCAGTGGCAGCACAATGGATCAAGAGGCTAAATGAAGCGGCCCTTGACATGCAAATCGCGCCGAATCTCAAACTGAGAATTGCGGTAAGATTGCTCGAGGGGATGGCATCCAAGTGGTGGGATGGAACCAAGAACAAGTACGGTGAGACCGTCGTTTGGGAGGACTTCCAACGGGAGTTCTTTGCCCAATACTATTCTGATTTCGAGGTGAATAAGAAGGTGAGGGAATACACCCTCCTAACCCAAGGGGGTAACATGTCAGTGAAGGAGCTGGAGTACAAGTTCCGGGATCTCGCCGACTACATACCGGAGTATGCTTGTGACGAGAACCGCATGGTGAACCACTTTTGGGACGCTCTTGACTTGGAGATACGTGATAGGGCAACGCAATTGCCTAATATGACTTTCGCCCAAGTGGTTGAACAAGCATTGAAAGGGGAGAAACAGTGGGAGGAACGGAAGAAGAGAGACGCCGAAGAGGCGAAGAAGAGAAAATGGGAGAGTCATGGCTCCCAAGGTTCCAACAAAAGGGGGAACCACGGAGGAGGATCTTTCCGGGCACCACCGCCACCATCAAGGGGGAACCAAGGCCCAAGTGGGCAAGGCTCGAGGTCACAGACCTCAGTGGTAACTCGTTGCAACAATTGCAAGAGGAACCATTCCGGTAAATGTCGCGACCCCCCTAGATGTTTCCAATGTGGGGATGCCGGGCATTTGAAGGCACATTGCCCACAACTGGGCGGGGCAAGGACATCGGGACCAAGTAGTGGCCCGACGGGTACACGGAATCAGACCGGGGCTTCTCAAGCAAGCAGGGGGCAAGGGGGAGCAAGTGCGAGCAACGCGCCATCCGTGAACCAAGGGAGGACCCAGGCTAGGGTCTATGCGATGACGGAGGCGGATGCTCAAGCTAACCCGGACTCCGTCGCAGGTATTGCCTCTCATATACTAGTGTTTTATCCTTAATTAGTCCATAAATTGAGGATACTAATCGCTAGGATCATTGCACGAGGTTTTGGGGTCGAACCGGGGGATTTCGGGCAACTTCAGGCGGCTGGGACCCAGGCACGATCGTGCCTAAGGCAGACACGATCGTGCCTCCAAGTCAGTAGCTGCCCAGGAATATTCCCAGCCCAGGCACGATCGTGCCTAAGGCAGACACGATCGTGCCTACAAGGCAGTAGCTGCCCAGGGCTTTTCTCCAAACCAGGCACGATCGTGCCTAAGGCAGACACGATCGTGCCTCCAAGTCAGTGGTTCCCAGGATTTTTCCAACCCAGGCACGATCGTGCCTAAGGCAGACACGATCGTGCCTCCAAGGCAGTAGCCCCAGGGCGTTTTCCTGAGCCAGGCACGATCGTGCCTACCCCGGGCACGCCGTGCCTGGCACCCAGATTGCCGAAACCCCGATTTTTTTCGCATCGTTTTGCGACGTTAAGGCCTCTTCTTGATCCCTAACGTGCGTGTGAACATTGCAACCTTCTATAAATGAGTAGGGAGGGTAGGAAGGATGTCTTACATGGTTCATGAATGTAGGGACACTAAAGATTAACGGGAAGGATGCACGAATCCTTATCGATACCGGAGCGCAACGTTCATTCGTGAGTGAGGCGTTTGCCGAGAGCTTAGAGATGCAATCAATACCAATGACACAAACCTTAGTGGTATCAACCCCACTAGGGGAAGACGTTGAAAGAAACAATTACTATCCATCTTGTATGGTGGAAATCGGTGGCCAAACCTTGACGTGTGATTTCGTACCGCTGAGTATGATGGAGTTCGATGCAATCCTAGGGATGGATTGGCTAGAAAAGCATCATGCTAGGGTAGATTGCTACACAAAGGTGTTGGAACTCGAAGGCACACAGGGGGACACCCTACGCTTCGAGGGGGACCGCGGCAAATCAAATAGTTGCATCATATCCGCCGTGAGAGCGAGAAATATGATGAGGAAGGGATGCCACGCATATCTAGCATACGTGGTTGACAAAACCAAAGAGGAAACGAACGTCGATGATGTGAGGGTGGTTTGTAAGTATCCGGATGTCTTCCCTAAAGACCTACCGGGGCTTCCACCTGACAGAGAGATTGAATTTGTGATCGAGGTCGAGCCTGGTACCAAACCAATCTCCATACCGCCATACCGGATGGCACCCGCTGAACTTAACGAGTTGAAAACCCAATTGCAAGAGCTTTTGGATAACGGTTTCATTAGACCAAGCCACTCCCCGTGGGGAGCACCGGTTCTTTTTGTGAAAAAGAAAGATGGGACACTTCGAATGTGCATTGACTATCGTCAACTGAACAAGGTCACAATCAAGAATAGGTATCCGTTGCCTAGGATTGATGACTTGTTTGATCAACTACGAGGAGCAACCGTGTTTTCGAAGATTGACTTAAGGTCGGGGTACCATCAATTGAAGATTAAGGAAGATGACATACCAAAGAGTGCTTTCCGCACAAGGTATGAGCATTTTGAGTTCCTTGTTATGTCGTTTGGGTTAACAAACGCCCCGGCGGCATTCATGGACTTGATGAACCGAGTATTCCATAAATACTTGGATCGATTCGTGATTGTGTTCATAGATGACATCTTGATTTACTCAAAGAGTGAAGAAGAGCATGAGGAGCACTTGATACTTGTTCTTGAAACACTACGGGAGAAGCAACTCTATGCCAAATTTTCTAAATGTGAATTTTGGCTAAAGGAGATTGGCTTCCTCGGGCACGTGGTTTCGGGATCGGGGATTGCTGTTGATAACAAGAAGATAGAAGCCATTACTGAATGGGAGAGGCCAAAGAACGTCAAGGAAATTCGTAGTTTCCTTGGATTGGCAGGCTACTATAGAAAGTTCGTGGAGAAGTTCTCTGTTTTGGCATCGCCATTGACGAAGCTCACTCGTAAAGGAGCTAAGTTTGTATGGGATGACAAATGTGAGAAAGGGTTCATGGAACTAAAGAAGAGATTGACTGAGGCACCGGTACTTGCATTACCCAAACAAGGTGTGGGGTACGATGTCTATAGCGATGCGAGCATCCAAGGGCTCGGATGTGTAATGATGCAGAATGGGAGGGTAATCGCCTATGCTTCACGACAATTGAAGAAGCATGAGGTGAATTATCCTACTCATGATTTGGAGCTCGGGGCAGTGGTATTTGCACTGAAGATATGGAGACATTATCTCTACGGGGAGACATGTCACATATACACTGATCACAAGAGCTTGAAGTACGTGTTTACTCAGAAAGAGCTAAACATGAGACAGAGACGGTGGATGGAGCTGATAAAAGACTACCATCTAGTGATAGAGTATCACCCAGGCAAGGCAAACGTGGTGGCAGATGCTTTGAGCCGGAAGAGCTCGTCTGGGGCATTGATAACTAATTTGAGGGCATTAAGAGCCCAACTGGAGGTAACCAGCGATGGTGCCTTATTGGCACGATTTGAGGTGAGACCCACTTTACTTGATGAGATCAAGAAGGGTCAGGAAGCCGACGAAGAACTTATGAAGGTCCGGGAACGCATGCAAGCGGGGCCGGTGGAGGATTTCAGGGAAAGAGATGATGGTCTCTTGTTATTTCGTGACCGAGTGTGTGTACCGTCAGATGATGAGCTCCGAAAGTCCATCTTAGAGGAGGCTCATTCATCGGCTTATGCCATGCACCCGGGGGGCACGAAAATGTACCGTGATTTGAAGGAAAGTTACTGGTGGTCTGGAATGAAGAGGGAAATAGCCGAGTACATCAGTCGGTGCCTTACTTGTCAACAAGTTAAGGCAGAACATCAGCACCCAGCAGGCTTATTGCAACCACTCTCCATCCCTGAATGGAAGTGGGAGCACGTGACTATGGATTTCGTGGTAGGCTTACCACGGACTATCAGGAACTATGACGCGGTTTGGGTCGTTGTGGATAGGCTCACAAAGAGTGCACACTTCTTGCCTATCAACACTACCTACCCACTTGAGAGGTTAGCCAAATTGTATACGGATGAGATCGTGAGGCTGCATGGGGTCCCGGTGACCATTGTATCTGATAGAGACCCACGATTCACATCACGTTTTTGGCCGAAATTCCAGGAGTTTATGGGAACGAAGTTGAAGTTCAGCACTGCTTTCCATCCACAGACGGATGGGCAATCTGAAAGGGTTATATAGATCCTAGAAGAAATGCTGAGGGCTTGTGCATTGGAGTTCCAGGGGAGTTGGGACAACCACTTAGCACTTGTGGAGTTTGCCTATAACAACAGTTATCAGGCAAGCATCGGCATGCCTCCATACGAGGCATTGTATGGGAGGAGGTGCCGTACACCGTTATGCTGGGACGAGGTTGGCATGGCCAAACTCGAGGGTACTGAGTTGGTGGAGGTCACCAAATCAAAGGTGAAGTTAATTCGAGAGAGACTCAAGGCGGCTCAGGATAGACAAAAGAGTTATGCAGATAAGCGTCGAAGAACCTTAGAGTTTAAGGTTGATGACGAGGTATTCTTGAAAGTTTCTCCTTGGAAAGGGATCATTCGGTTCCAAACCCGAGGAAAACTTAACCCACGATATATAGGTCCATTCAGAATTATAGAGAGGATTGGGGCCGTTGCATATCGTCTACAATTGACTCCTGAGTTAGAGAAGATACATAATGTGTTTCATGTATCCATGCTTAAGAAGTACGTGCATGATCCCTCTCACGTATTGGAGAAGCCACCTGTAGAGGTACGTGAGGATTTGAACTACGCTGTTCAACCTATCAAAGTCACCGATAGAAAGGTGAAGAAGCTGAGGAGCAAAGAAGTCCCAATGGTTAAAGTCCTGTGGAAGAGCGATCGGGTCGAGGAAGAGACATGGGAAACGGAGGCTTTGATGAGGAAGCAGTATGCTTTCCTATTCGAGTAGAGCTGTGAATTTCGGGGACGAAATTCCTGTTAAGGGGGGGTGAACTTGTGACACCGCACCCGAACGTCCTTGAAAATTCGATTTAAAAATTCAAAAGTGATGTATTGAATTTCCGATTTCAAAGCAATGGAAGAAACGATTAATATTTTACGAAGTACATGATTGAATATTGTATTGTTCAAACCCGCATTCTTTTGTAATTTTCATCGTGTAAATTATTGGGATGAGCCTACACATATTGGAGATCAATAATGTGATTTAGGAAGTTGACTTGCTCTAAATAAGTTAGAATAAGTACAAAAAAAGACATCTTTTGACAAAGATAAAACAATAGGACCCATCTTCCCATTTTTGGAGGTATTGGTAGATATTTTGGACCCCAAATTAAATGGGATCATTTGGGAACCATCCCACATGACCTTGGTACCTGCAAAGACAAAGAAAAATGGATGAGACAACTATGTGGGGCGGACTTTTGACTCATGAGCTACAACATTACAAAAAGGAAATAAAAGAGGAGGTCCATACCATGTTTGATTGCAATCAAATACCCCACCCTTCTTTTTTGTGAACCACATGCTCTCTTAGCATGATTGAGGCCTTCCTAATACATTTTCCCTACACCCCATTCGAACTCCCAAGATAAGAGAGAAAGAGGGAGCCACATATTCCAAGAGAGAAGAGAAGAGAGAAGCTGGCCGCAGGATTCGTTTTCCAGCAGATAGGGTCTCTTGTTTAATCCATAACTTGAGCTTCACTCGTCCAAATAAGGCGTATGATATACCAAAAGAAAGCTCTCAAGACGAGGAATCTGTGAAGGCCTGGTTTGCAGGAATCGGAGTTGTGGAAGGCTTCCAAATCGTCCGAGAAAAACGCAACCTCGCAGGAGAGGATTTAATCTTCTAAAGTGAGTTTTAACCCCAAAGCTTTACTTTTCATTCTCCAAATGATATGAACGATTGGTGAGACTATTATACACTAATCCAAGTGTTTAATATGTCCTTATAAAGTTATTTTATTGATGTAAAGGTTAGATACTAACCTAGATGCAAATATTGGAAAACTAGGAATCGAGTTAGCCGGAAAACACCCGTTCTAGGGGCTGTTTTCGTATCAACGATTAAGGGTTGAACTAGCACTTTGAGGAGGCTGTTTAACACTCATATTTGAGCAAGGAATCAGTCCCAAATCCACCTTGACCAAAGATTTGACCGTTGGACCAAGAAGGGAAAGTTTAAAGCTCAATTGAGGTGAGGATTGACATCTAATTGCTTACAACTTGTAGGTTAAGCATGAGATTACCTAAATGTTTAAATCATGATTTTTCATGGATTATGATGACTATATATTGATGAAATATTGATATAGTTGCCAAAGAATGAATTTGGAATGATTTGAGAAAGTATGAACGATATGAGATTAAATGAGTATAAATGAACTATTTTGTGAAAATGGGCATTTTGCTCATG